GTCATTTATTTTTTAATATTTTCTGATCACCAAGTCAATTCATTGTTATGTCTATCATGTACACTCATTTTATTTGTTTGTTAGTTTTTTAATATTCATCTAACTTGAATCTACTTTTTTTATAATAAAGAATGGGCATACCGGACATGAACAATAAGATTTCATTATGGAGGATATTTTGTCTTTTCACCTACACGAACATATGTCATGGTTAGAGTGATTGAGAAGTACTATGATTTTGATTTGGAGTTGTTTTCTCCAACTTTGCTTTGTTGGATTACATAAAGAAGAACTGTGACTTTGATAACTTCGCGGAGACAAATTGTTTTACCTGAAGCCAACGAGTATCCCTCAGTGATCTTATGGGCTAGTCCAAATTGTTGATGATGATGACGTGAGAAACATGCTTGCAAGTTACGAATACTAAGGGAATGCATGTTAACATTTTTACTCTCTTAGAAAAGGATGATATAGTGTCTTGCTATCCTGAAAAACATAATCTTGGAAATGTTTCGAGAGAATCAACCAGACATTTTTGGAGGAACCACATCAAATGTTGGAATGTGAGGCATGGACATCAGGTTTTAATTTTAATTTTTTCCGTTTTACTTTCATGCATTTCATTTTCTAAATGTCATACAGTTCATTTGCTAATAATAATTATTCATATGATTTTTAGGTCTAAACCGAAAAAGGAAAACAAGAGGCCCTACGTGCTGCATAAAAATCATTACATTAGAAAAGGAGAAAAATTGCCCATAAATTTGATGAGGATCATCAGGCTGTTGATGAAACTCACAGATTTTTTTTGGTTTTTAGGACAACAGTTGCGAATAAGTCATGTTGTCCTTTACAAATAAGGAGTGGAAAAGAACTTAAAGACATGAAATTGACCATATGTGGACCATTATCAAGGTAAGATGGATAAGAAATAAATATTTATAATATTTTGTATTTTGTTTAATATATTAAAGTGTAGAATTTGAAACTTTTTTATCTTATATGCTTTTCAGGAGATTTGTATTGAAAGAAGTAGAAGAAGGAAAAGCCATTTTTGGTCACATGAATGCCTTATTAGCCATTTTTGGAAGTAGACCAACTAAGCACAACTTATGAAACAAGTACAAACAACTAGGAAGGAAGCAAATGAGGGTGGAGAGGCAAAGAGGGAACAATGAGAAATTAGAAGATTGTGAAAAGCAAATGGAGGAGATGAATAGACGATGGAAGAGAAGTTCATGACGATGCTTACAACTCAAGTCAACAATCTTCAATAATAACCAAATCTCTTTGGATGAAATTGAATTATTTTGAAAATTGCATATATACTATGAAAACCATTTGGCTTTTACATTAATCATAAAGTGATATTCAATGATTACATTAATCTATATGATTAATCTAAGTTCTTTTTCAAATTTAGTATTGCAGGTTGGTGGAAATTCTTAAATGGTCAGGAAAGATTTGTATGACTTGAAGATTCATATTTTGTAAAAGAAAATTAGTTGATAACATTAAATGACTAGGATGAAGGATTTTAGGAGTAGACAATTATGGTTGGAAATGACTTTGCTAATGTAACTTTTTATGTTAGAATTTTTTCGTATGAGTCTATATCATTTAATATAAATTCCTATAAATTTGTAATTATATTAAATTTGTTAATTATAGCAACATTTGTACATTAATTAATTGAAGCAATAAATTATAAATTTTTTAATAAATTATTTGTTCCAAGCAAATAATTATAATATTTAGCTACAAATTAAAAGTATTATACAAGTTATTTCAATATTTAGCTAGAACAACTATGTCCTAGCAACTGAATTTCACATATAGATATGACTTCAATATTTCCATAGCAAAAATTATAATATTTAGCTACAAATCGAAAATATTCATAGCAAGTATTCAATATTTACTATTAACAACCACTCTATAGCAATATTTTTCATATACAGATAGATCTTTCATATGTTTGTAGCAAAAAAATTAAATTTAGCTATAAATTCACTATATATGTGGCAAATGATATTTTTATTAGTTACGATTTAGCTGTCCGTAGCCAAAAAGTTAATATATTTGCTATGGATATTATTTTTGTAGCAGAAATTTTCAAGTTTAGGTATAAATTTATATTTTGTAGCTAAATGCTACATAGCTACACAGACTATTTTCCGTGGCTAAAAAGGCAAAGTTTTTGCTACAACTTATTATTGTTATGGCAAAACATTTAAGTTTTTAGTTACATTATATCATTTAAGCAAAAAAATATAAATTGTTAGCTACGTAAGCAAAAGTTACATGGCTAAATCTTAGCTAGCCACTTCTAGCTACGATAAGCTACAAAAGATTGCAGTTGTAGCTAAACCATTTAGCTACGTAATGCATACTTTTAGCTACAATGAACGCCATCTAGAAATGCATAATGTTGTAGTGCACCCCCAATTTAGTTGTTTTGTAAAATGTAATTTGTAAATTAATTGTCAATTATTGCACTCTTTTTTCTTTACCAAGTTTTTCTCCCATTGGATTTTTCTGGTGAGGTTTTTAACGAGGCAATAATTGTTGTAATTTTTATTTTATTTTTGATAAATGAATAAGTCTAATTTTTCTTATATACAATTTTATTGTATTAATGAATTAATATTGAAATGTTAACAAAAAAAAAAAAATTGAATTGAATTGATTATTGATATTTGAAAAGTTAACTAAAACAATTATATTTATAATTATTTATTTGAAAAGTTAAATTAAAAAAACAAAAAAATAAAACACAAAAAAAAAAAAAAATCGGGCTAACCCGCCCGGACCGTGCCTAACCCGGCGGTTAGGGCTAGCGGGCCGGGCTGGGCCAGCCACCTCCCTAAATTGGCGGGCCTAACCCGGCCCGCCTTGTTGGCGGGCGGGTTAGCCCAGCCCGCCTTTGTTGGCGGGCGGGTTGAGCCCAGCCCGCCAAGCATGTAACCCCCGCGGGCCGGGCTGGACCGGGCCGGGTGTTACTTTTGCACCTTTAGTCATGCTCGACATGTAGAGTGGATCCAAAGTCTAAACCCATAAGGGTTAGGATCTACACCTATCATCATCTCAAACAAATTGTCTTTAATACTATAACAACAAAAGCCTAAAAGCTAACCACATATGTACCTATAACAACTCACTAACTTGATGATGAGAACAAATACATTTTCTACAGCAATATCCGAAAAATCTTCAATGATTCATTGTTACTTGGTATAACTTGTGCTTTTCGAAAACTTTGATTGTTGAGCATATATCACTAAAAATTAAAGTTGAGAAGACATAAACAAAGTCTCAAAGTTCCGCTGGGGCCTTAATAGGGGTTGACCCCTCATTTTTCTTTTTTTTTTTTTTTTTTTGTAATTTTTTAGATTAAGGATGAGTTTAAATGTAAATTGAATTTTAATTCAAGATAAACTCTTAATATTTTTCTTTTTATAACCAATTAGTCATATTTAATGTGGATTAAAACAAAATTGATGTAATAATATTTAAAGAGAAATAAAAACATATTTATTTATTAATATTAATTTAGAAATAATTAATATTTATTTATTAATATAAATAAGTCATGTGGGTATTAAAACATGAAAACACGTGTATTATTAATCAACCACCAAGCAACGGAGGAGGCTAGCCGTCGAGAGGTTGTTACGCCAGGAAATGTTAAATTTTCTCCAACATTTTGATTATTTTTACATCCGAAAGATTGACAGAACTGAAATGGAGGAGAATGTTTTTCACACGATTGGTCAATATCCTGATCTTTTGAAAATGTTTGGGGACATCCTGAAGCAGTTTGAAGAGGAAGGTCTTGGGGAATCTTGGCCACGAAGAAACAAAATACATATTAGGAAGAAGAAATATAAAGTGTTTGTGTGTGACTGGGAGCTTTTTGAGGTACTGTTATTCTTCAAGTTGTTTCTTTCGTCGCGGTCGATTTGATGGATGATGTTGGCTTGTGCTTTATAGACTTTAAATCTTGATGATTTTTTTTGTGAATTGTATGTTCTATTCTCTTTGTGATTCCTGAAAATTCTACATTGTGGCCTTGCTGAGACTATCCAGGAGTTGAGATTCCTTACCGTCATAAAACTGAGCAGGGTCTCTAAAGAAATGAATGATGGAGATTTTCTGTTCTAATGATTGTTTTCTTATTATTTTCTAAACTTTTCCCAAAATTCCTAAACATTTTACTGGCAACCACAAGAGGCACCCAAGCATCATTCAATAAGCCATTCAATCATTAAGAGAAGTACTCCGAGGGAATTGGATGATTATCCTTTGCGAAATCATTGAAATTCAATAGTGATCAAAGAAAGGAGTCATTAGATTACAGAGATAGAAGTGGCTGAAGAAAATTCAGTAGAATGGTCAGAAGGGTGAAGGGTCATCAGTACTGCAGCTACTCAAAACCGAGCTAACAAGAGATAATGAGCAATTTTTAGAAGGGATTTGATCATTTGATTAAGATTTCCTAGTGCAGCTTTTGTGACTGGAGCTCAAACTTTTCCTGCAATACAGACCATAAAATTATAGTGAATTTCATGGAGAAAAAGAAAAATTACATCTCTTATTCAACTCATCCTGGTCCTTCCAAAACCTGGAAGTTTTTAAAGTAAAGAAGCTTTTGACAGAGAATACAAATTAAGATATAATTAGCTGGATCGATACATTTGCCGGAGTTGTTTTGCCACTTGAATCATGGTTGGCATGTCTTCTGCAGAATTTGAGAGACATTTGAAGGCTAATTCTACCAAAGCTTGCAAGTGTTGGTCTTCCCTGGGAGATGACCCAGCTCCAACAATTACAATATTTATGATCTCATTGAACTTGTTATTTTCAATACGTATATTCATTTGATCCCTTAAAGAGTATAGATCACAATTCATAAGACGAAGAAGATCAATTGCTTTTTGCCCTGTCAAAACCTCAAATAACAATACACCAAAACTATAAACATCACACTTCTCATTGAATTAGCCTGTGTGAAGGCTCTCAGGTGCAACATGTCCTGATGTTCCTCTTACTCCGTTTGTTATGTGAGTTTCACCTTCTGGAATAAACTCGGATACTGAAAAATTGAACAATTTCGGAACATAATTTTCATCGAATAGTATATGAGATGAATTGATATCTTTAAAGAGAATAGGCCTGGAGAATCCTAGATGAAGGTATGCAACTGCATTAGCTATCTCCATTGCAATATTTAGCCGATGTGTCAACTGTAAAGGCTCAATAGGAGGTAGTTGAAAGCTGCTGTCACTCTGATCACGAAACGTCCCATGCTTCACATACTCGAAAACTAGGATGGGCAAATGAGTCTCTAAGCAGGATCCGATTAACTTCAAAATATTTTTATGATTCATCTGAGATGGAAACACAATGTTATTCAACCAAGAGTTGAAATCAGTTCATTTGCCCAATAATCATTAAACTTCAAGACAGAAATTAGACGATCCTGATAGTGAAAATCACCCCTGTACAATTCATAACCACCTCCTTTTGTTATCATTTTCTGTCTGTCATAGTCGTTGATTGCTTGCTTTAGCTCTTTGATCGAGAAGCTACGAATAGGATTACATTTTCCGTTACAAGAGGCAATCAACTTTTCGAGTACAAATTTTCCATTCTCCACCATAAATGCTTCTCTTTGTTTTCTATCTGCCTTCTCCTGATTCTCTTTTATCTTCAAACACAAACCCATCTAAACCTGTCCACAAACCCTGTAAAATTAATGCTTCCACTTCTATATACAGATAAACTATGACACATATAGCACCAAAAAGAGATATCATATAGACATGCTAACAGAAATTGAGGCTTTTTGGTGCGAAATGTACCTGTGGCTTGGCGAATTCAGGAGTCAAGATGAAGGATATGTGAGCCTGGTTTTGAGAGAGATCTCTACTGCAATTGGCACTTGGGTGTAAAATATGAAGCAGAATGAAGATAGATAGTAATGTGGCTTCCTGGAAGTCTTCCCCATCATCTATAAATTTAGTCAACATTTAACTTTTGTTTCAAAGTCATGATCTGAAATGTTGGCCACTTGGGGACATTATTATTCACTAAATAGTTTCCTTGATTTACGACAATTGCACTTAACTTGAAGTTTACATGAGGAATCGTGTAGCTACTGAGAAAATGTATTGACTATGAAATTGTTATGCCTAGGAAAATAGGGTTAACGTGGCGCCCAGTTAAGTGCGAAAGGTTAGACCTCGGGAAGAGTCCGCTGACATTTTGGCGCAGCCGCATCACATAATGATGTAAGTAGCACACTCCTATCGGTACAGTGGGTGCGCGCCAGACTGAAGAAAGGCTAGAGGATGTCCACGTGTCCAATCCTTGTAGCAAATCGCGTGAATTACTCTAGAAGGTGGGCAATGTGACATAAAGAAGGATTTGCACAGATAATCCCACTAACTCACAGATTCAGTAATGATAACCTTAATCCATCCCACTATAAATTGGGAGCTCTCCTCTCGTTTGAGGGATGATCTATCCTCTCTCTAGTATATACAACATTTGATACATTGTATTATCATTGTAAAGTCAGTCGGCTGAAGCGACCTGACCTTTATCATTAATACAAACATCAGTGGACGTAGGACTTGCTTCCTTAGCATCCAAACCACTTTAAAACTCCTTTCATACTGCATTTGCTCTTGATTCTCTTGCTTTCATGTGTGTTTTCTGGGCCAGCTCAGCATCTCACACGTGCGTTTCGTTGGTGTCAAAATCACGCATCAACAGTTTGGCGCTAGAAGGAATGCTGCTTTGGCATTCGTCCTTCATCAGAAGAATCTCTAACCTGTCGGCCCTACAACAGCAAATGGCTCACCGATTTGAACCTGAGAAAACCAACCAGAATACTGAGGGGATCCCTCAAATACAGGAGGATACCTCCCCTAAGGTACCCTCGGCCCCGCAGACTACCGCAGGGAACATCTTGTCAAGTTCATAACTTGACCCTGCCGTTCTAAGCTACCTGGAGAGGTTCAATAATGCTCTCCAAACGGTCACGCGGAGATTGGATCATTTGGACCAGAATGTACTGCCTAAGTCGAATGAGGATGTGCAACCGCCCAAAATGCCTGTAGGTCGTGCAAAAGCGCGACAAAGGGCGATAGCCCATGCCGCGAGCACTGCAGCGCGCCGAAGAAAGGGTAAGCAAGTGGCAAATGGGCCTAAAAGCTCGAAAGGCCTGGCGAACGCCTACCACGCCCCTAGTAGAATACCTGTGGCGTTGAGACTCGGTGAAAGGGTGCAGCCCGAGCCATCCCACGCCACGTCGCATGAAAAATCCCACAAAAGTGCTGGGCGGGGCAATTCTCATTACCGCCAGGACGATCCTGATCGTCACGCGGGAAGCTACCACACTCCACGGGTCGGTTCGCACCACTGTGTAGGTCGTGAAAGTTCCCTGAATAATGCAATGCCATCACACGACTCTAGCCAGCGTGTCTCAAGATTGGCCAGGACTGTCGGCAGAGGCGAGGGGGAATCTGACCTATGGTTATTCCTCAACAGTAACCGTGAGGGTCGCACCCACGTTGCGGAAAGTAATCCCCAGGTAGCGCCGCTACCTCAAATCGAAAAGCTGCAGCAAGCTCTTGATCAACTGAAAGCTCAGCAAAACGAGCAAGGGCAGGTCACATTGGCGTCTCCCTTTTCTCCGGCAGTATTAGCCGCCCCATTACCATCGGGGTTTAGAATGCTCGACATACGAGCGTTTGATGAAAATTCTGATCCGCAGGATCACTTATATGAATTCAACGACCTGATGGAGCTTCACCAGGTCTTAGATTTGGCAAAATATCGGTGTTTAGCAGTGACCTTAACCTCTCATGCCAAATGGTGGCTCAAAGCTGGATCGATCAGCTCGTGGCCTCAGCAACATAAGGCAAGAGAGGGATGAATCCTCCCAATCATATATAGACAGATTCCACAGAGAACTCAACAAAGTGGCTCACACTCCCGAGGAGTCTATTTGGACTCTCATCATTACAGGATTTCGCCCACAAACCGACCTGTGGAAAGAGCTACAGGCTGAGGATGATATTTCCCTCACCCATTTTTACAATCTTGTGGAGAAGTATCTCCGTATTGAAAGTTCTATAGCAGCACTCCACCGCCGCGATGGCGGCACCTCAGGCGGTGCGCCTGGTCGGGAAGAAAGAATGAGAGTTGATCGCAGATGGGTCCCTAACGATCAGCGAAAAGGGAAGAAGCCACGTTATGAGCCCAAAAAGTCTTATGCCTTAGTTCCTCGTCGCGATTGCGATTGAAACCAATATACCCCCTTGAATGCATCTGTATCGGCTATTCTTGACAAATCAGAAGAGGCCAGCCTACTTGGAGAACCTGAGCCCATGAAAAATCCCCCATCGGCCAGGAACAGTAAAAAATATTGTCGCTATCATCGGGACAATGGGCACCATACCGATGAATGCCGAGCTCTCAAGCAGGCGATCGAAAACCTCATCAAACAGGGACATTTCAAGGAGTATATTGATGACTTTGCTCCCTCACAAGAGAAAAATCAGGGGGAGCCAAGTAAGAAGTGCCGTGATCAGAAAGGAGTGTGCACCCTTAATTTAATCTTCGGGGGACCGCACTTCGCGGGGAACTCGCGAGGTGCCCAAGAAAGGTATGCTCGCGAGGTATATCACGACCCTATCAAAACGATGAGCGTGGCACAGTGACCACAAAAGGTTCACCAGGAGGAGGAAATTTCTTTCTCCGAAAAAGATGCGGCCCAACTGCATCATCCTCACGATGATGCCCTTGTGATCACGCCCCTCATAAGGCGCCATAATGTCCAAAGAATGTTAGTGGATAACGGAAGTGCTATGAACATCCTGTTCGCTTCAACTTTTGATAGAATGAATTTGGATGAGGCCGACCTGAAGCCTGCGTCGTTCCCTTTATATGGCTTCACAAGGGACCACCTGCTCCCCAAGGGAACGATCTCACTCCCAGTCACGCTGGGTGACTTAGATGAGGTGACCAAGGTAATTGAGTTCTTGGTAGTGGATTGCCCATCCGCCTTTAATGGAATCCTGGGGCGACCTCTGCTGAGACACTTCAAGGCAATCACTTCAAGGCAGTCACTTCAATATACCATCTGAAGATGAAGTTTCCCACCTCGACGGGGATTGGGGAAGTTAGCGGGTCTCAGCGCACATCTCGCGATTACTATGTGAAAGCAGTGTAGATGGCGTGCAAAGGCAAAGGCACCTCGCGTGGCAATCACAACCAGGCAATGGCGATTAGCTGGATCGAGCCACAGCTTGGTTCAGCCGAGGATAATATAGATCCTCGCATTTAGGACTGCCCTTCCAATGGGCCAGTTGAGGACCTGACTGAAGTACTGGTCGACCAGAATGAGCTAAGCAGGGTGTTAAGGATCGGTAAAAATCTCAATCCCCAGCTCGCTACCGAACTGACCAACTTCCTCAGGGAAAACATCGATGTGTTCGCGTGGTCGCACGCAGATATGGTTGGGGTTAGCCCGAATGTTATTTGCCATGCATTAAACATCGACAAAGAAGCCAAGCTAGTTCGTCAAAAGAGGAAAGCGATGGATCCGGAGCGGTATGCTGCCTTGAAGCTTGAGGTGGATAACCTCCTCTGAAATGGATCCATCCGAGAAGCACTCTATCTGACCTGGGTTGCCAACCCAGTTCTAGTAAAGAAGCCTAACAGCAAATGACGGACCTACGTCGACTTCATCGACCTCAACAAGGCATGTCCGAAAGATAGTTTTCCCCTGCCAAGGATCGACCAGCTCGTGGATGCCACCTCAGGGCACGAGCTGCTGAGTTTCATGGACGTGTACTCGGGATACAATTAAATTCTGATGTGCGCGTCAGACGAAGAGCATACATTTTTTGTTACAGACCGGGGACTGTACTGTTGCAAAGTTATGCCCTTCGGCCTAAAAAATACTGGTGCAACTTACCAGCGACTGGTTAACCGGATGTTCTCTGAACAGATAGGCAGATCGATAGAGGTCTACGTAGACGACATGCTGGTCAAGTCGCATGTCGCTTCAGATCACGTAGCACATCTCGCTGAGATGTTTGACATCCTCCAGCAATACCGAATGAAACAGAACCCCCTCAAATGTTCATCCGGAGTATCCTCGAGAAATTTCCTAGGGTACATGGTTAACTAGCAGGGAATTGAGATTAACCCCGAAAAAATCCAAGCTCTCCTCGATATGAAGAGCCCGACCAACAAAAAACAAGTCATGAGCCTGAACGGGCGTATAGCTGCGCTAAGTCGCTTCATATCAAGGCTAACAGATCGCTGCTTGCCATTCTTCAATGTACTTAGGGCCAATAAGAAGTTCGAATGGACTCCCGAGTGTGAACAGGCCTTCCAGAGAATAAAGGAACACCTCGAGAAGCCATCACTTCTGTCCAAACCTCTCCTACAAGAGATTATTCTTTTGTACCTGTCCGTCTCGTAGTTCGCGGTTAGTGCAGCTTTAGTTCAAGAAGAGAACAGAGTGCAATAGCCAGTATATTACACGAGCAAGCGTCTGTTGGATGTCGAGATGCGGTATCCAAAAATGGAGCGATTAGCCTATGCCCGGCTAATCGCTTCCCGAAAGTTTCAACCTTACTTCCATGCCCATACAATTCATGTATTGACTAATTACCTGCTCAGACAGGTCTTCCAAAAACCAGAGGCGTTGGGTAAATTGCTCAAATGGGCCATGGAACTCAGCCAGTTCGATCTCCATTACAAACCGAGAGCAACTATTAAAGGGCAGGTTGTTGCCGACTTCATATCAGAGTTCTCACATCATCCAGCGAACGAGTCGGAACAGCCCAACGAAGTCATCCAAGAAGCTGTTCAAAACTTCTCGACCTGGACACTCTACATCGATGGATCATCTAACAGAAAGAGGGCCAGTGCGGGTCTTCTCTTGTTGAGTCCTGAAGGGGCTCGCATTCATGGCATTCTCCGGTTTGGCTTCAAAGCAACCAATAATGAGACCGAGTATGAAGCTCTGTTTGCTGGACTAAGGTTGGCCCGAGAAATAGGCACAACTGCGATCAGCGTCCACAGTGACTCCATGCTGGTCGTTAACCAGATTTTGGGAGAGTACCAAGCCAAGGAAGATAACATGATCAATTATCTGAAGAAAGCTAAGACCACACTCGAGCCGTTCAAGCGCTTCACGATCACTCAGATTCCCAGAGATAGCAATTCTGTGGCGGACGCCTTGGCAAGAATAGCCTCATCATTGGACTCAGATGCACAGAGAACATTCCTATTCGATTCATCGAGATCCCCAGTATCAGTCCAAACGAACAGGCCGTGAATGTAACGGATTCAGATTCATGGATGACCCCGATTATTCGGTATCTCAAAGATGGGACCTTGCCTGACGACAAGGTCGAGGCAATGATTCTACGAACAAGATCTGCCAGTTACACCCTCATCGGAGATCAGTTGTACAGGCGAGGGTTCAGCGCCCCTCTCCTCTAATGTGTAAATAACAAAGAGGCAGATTATATCATAAGGGAGATACATGAAGGGATCTGCGGTAATCACACCGCCGCACGATCTCTTGTCAACAAAGTTGTTTGCCAAGGGTACTACTAGCCCCTGATCCAGGAAGACACCTACAACTTTGTCAAAATGTGTGATAAGTGCCAGCGGTATGTGAACATACCGCGAGCTCCCTCTCACCAACTGACGATTATGACCAGCCCCTGGCCGTTCTCTATATGGGGGATCGATCTCATCGGCCCCATGCTGGCTGGTAAAGGAGGAGTGAAATATGCCATGGTCGTGGTAGATTACTTCACCAAATGGGTCGAGGCCGAGCCATTAGCCTCGATCACGACCAGAAAGCTTAAAGACTTCGTCTTCAAGAACATCGTGTGCCGCTACGGGATTCCTTATACCCTCATCTCAGATAATGGTAAACAGTTTGACAACGAGGAGTTCAAGCAGTTTTGCAACAAGCTGGGTATCCATAAAAAATTTGCCTTTGTCACGAGACCGCAAGTAAATGGTCAAGTTGAAGCCGTCAACAAAACCATCAAGCACATTCTTAAGGCCAAACTTGGCGCAGCCAAGGGAAACTGGGCTGACAACCTTCCCAAAGTCCTGTGGGCGTACAGAACAACCCCAAGAACCTCTACCTCGAAAACTCCCTTTTCGCTAGGATATGGCTGCGAAGCAATGATCCTTGTGGAGGTAGGAACCGGTTCACTTCGGAGGGACCTTTACAATGAAGTAGACAACGAAGGGCTTATGCACGCAAGTCTGGACCTTGTTGAAGAAAGTTGCAGCAAGGCTTCGCTAAGAATAGCAGCCCATCAGCAAGCCGCGAAAAGGTTTTTCGATTCTAAGGTCAGATGAAAAGACTTCCAGGTCAGTGACCTTGTATTAAAGGAAGTTCTTCTTGGTACTAGAG